TATATATATATATATATATATAATATATACATATTTTATTAATCACATATAGTTAACAGTTAATATATAGTTAATATGTCATAATATATATAATATATGAAAAATAAATTCATATATTTCATAAATCATATGAAATGACGATGAAAAATTCAGTTTAGAGGAAATTATAGATTATTGGATTTGGAAGTGGTCCAAAATTGATTTCATATGTGCTTTTGTATAAATGTATTCTAGCAGTGCTGCTATTAAATTTGTCATGCCAAATCATCTAGTCCAAATAAAATATAGACATTTACACACAACTAAACATACCCTTAAACACCTCCTCTAAAGCACTGATTTCTGCCTCACAGAAGTCCACCATGAAGTGTGATGGATTCCAGTCTGAATTCCACTTCTGAAACACCTTCAAGGCTTCTGCGATGTCCTCTTTAGTCTCTGTCTGAGTGACAAACACTCCAACAGCGGCGTAGCTCACATTTGTCCTCACCCACAGAAAGAAGAGTGGCAGTGAATTTCTGTGTGGCAAAGACCAGTAAATAGTTGTTATTTTTAGTGAATCTGAGATTTCATTCTTGTATACAAGTACACATTAAATGACAAACTGCACCACCAACGCACCTGCCAGCTCGATAGGATTCATCCAGTAAGCACATGCGCTGTCCATACAGTAACATAAGCCTCTTCTGCCACGGCGTCTGCAAGCACAGCAGCATCTTCACCACGCTACCATCCTCCTTCTCCTGAGAGGGTCTGTACTCAATGGCACAGCCCTCTTCTTTCCATGTGTTTACCAAGGCCTACAACGTATAACCTGTCAATTAATCATTTTAAAGAATTTTGAATGTAATAAAATCATTTCTGCAACATAAAACATGATCAATGTTCAAAGAAAGCCAACATGAAATCCAAACCACCCATGACTTACTTCTGGTCTTATTGTGAATGAGTCATTTGTACACATTATTCCAAAGAAAAAAAATGCATTAAAGGGATAGTTCACCCAAAAATGAAAATTATTAGTCATTAATTACTACCACAGAACTACCACGTTCAAGGCCCAGAAATGTAGTAAGGACATTGTTAAAATAACGCATCGTGATTCTTGCGTGAATGGCGGCGGACACTGACACGGAAGAGAAGAGTTGTTGAATAAAGTCATTTTTGTTTTCTTTGTGCACAACAAGTATTCTCGTAACTTCATAACATTACGGTTGAACCACTGATGTCACATGGACTATTTTAACGATGTCCTTACCTTTCTGGGCCTTGAATGTTGTAGTTGCATTGCTGTCTATGCAGGGTCAGAAAGCTCTCGCATTTCATCAAAAAATATCTTAATTTGTGTTCCGAAGATGAACGAAGGTCTTAAGAGTTTGGAACGACATGAGGGTGAGTAATTAATGACAGAATTTTCATTTTTGGGTGAACTATCCCTTTAACCTCTCCTTCTGATTCAACTTCCCTTTAGAGGCTGACGTCACGAATCCAGTTTTTTTGTGCATCCTTTTTAACTTTAAAATACATCATATTACAGAAGCAAAGCTGGTTTTGAATGTCGTTTCATGTTGACTTTGGTTATTTGTAACAGCACTAGGGATGGGTAGATCGACACCTAGTGTCGACACACGTTTCGAGTTTTTGACACACTAGTGCAGGGGTGGCCAACGTCGGTCCTGGAGAGCCACAGTCCTGCAGAGTTTTGCTCCAACCTTGACAAAACCTACACCTGCCTGTAGCTTTCTAGTAACCCTTAGACCTTGATTAGCTTGTTCGGGCTGATCCATTTAGTGCAATGTTATAGTTATATCAGTCAGCATGCCTATATGTCTGTAGTGTTTTTATGTGGTGTACCGTTGTTAATTATAGTATTACTTTTAAAAACAATGACATGTCAATGTCTGTTGACTGAATGAAAATTAAAACACCTTGCTTGCTCAACCACTGTTCCCAAAAAGGATAAATGTCCTTCCTTAACCACAGACATTTTTGCTGCTTGTAAACGCCGTCCTCTGTTGTCAACAGCTCACACTGGTGAGAAAAATATATTATTGCAAAATATATTAAATGCAATAACTGCATTTGCATTTGTGTTTTTTAACAACGTGCATGTTTGTGTTTTTTTGTAAGGAAGACACAAAAATGGTGCAATGAAAAATGACGTAGGTCTAATTGATTGGCGTATTAAACATTCTATTTATGTGAAAAGACACAAGTTTGATGCAAGTAAAAATTAATAAGATAAAGTCTTTATTGTCATTGTATTGTGCAAAATACAATAAATCTGGGAAACTCTATCGCTGCACACACACATGCCGCCATGTTATGACACATATGCTTATTAAATAGACAATTAAACCTTACAATGACATCCCAATGAACAAAACATCTACAGGTGCATCTCAATAAATTAGAATGTCGTGGAAAAGTTCATTTATTTCAGTAATTCAACTCAAATTGTGAAACTTGTGTATTAAATAAATTCAATGCACACAGACTGAAGTAGTTTAAGTCTTTGGTTCTTTTAATTTTGGCTCACATTTAACAAAAACCCACCAATTAACTATCTCAACAAATTAGAATACTTCATAAGACCAATAAAAAAAAAAAAATTTTGTGAATCGTTGGCCTTCTGGAAAGTATGTTCACTTACTGTACATGTACTCAATACTTGGTAGGGGCTCCTTTTGCTTTAATTACTGCCTCAATTCAGCGTGGCATGGAGGTGATCAGTTTGTAGCACTGCTGAGGTGGTATGGAAGCCCACGTTTCTTTGACAGTGGCCTTCAGCTCATCTGCATTTTTTGGTCTCTTGTTTCTCATTTTCCTCTTGACAATACAACAAAACATCTACAGGTGCATCTCAATAAATTAGAATGTCGTGGAAAAGTTCATTTATTTCAGTAATTCAACTCAAATTGTGAAACTTGTGTATTAAATAAATTCAATGCACACAGACTGAAGTAGTTTAAGTCTTTGGTTCTTTTAATTTTGGCTCACATTTAACAAAAACCCACCAATTCACTATAATAATAATAATAATAATAATAATAATTCATTACATTTATATAGCGCTTTTCTAGGCACTCAAAGCGCTTTACATTGTCAGGGGATATCTCCTCGTCCACCACCAGTGTGCAGCATCCACCTGGATGATGCGACTATCTCAACAAATTAGAATATGGTGACATGCCAATCAGCTAATCAACTCAAAACACCTGCAAAGGTTTCCTGAGCCTTCAAAATGGTATCTCAGTTTGGTTCACTAGGCTACACAATCATAGGGAAGACTGCTGATCTGACAGTTGTCCAGAAGACAATCACGACATTCTAATTTATTGAGATGCACCTGTAAATGATACAGTTGGTGTAAGAATTTGTATTGACCACCAGATGGCGGGGTAGAGCACTGTGTCAAAAGCTTCAAAGCATCAACGCAGTTTGTTGTAAAAGCCACACTGCTTCAAAAGCCTTGTTCGGCACATCCCTAAACAGCACCTCAATCAGGTAACAATGTTTACCTGTAGATTATGATGGTCTGCACTGGACTTCCTGTTTCCTGCCTTGACCTTTTTTATGATGTTCCAAATGTCTCTTGATTCCTGCAAGTTCAAGCAGAACAAAATGGCATTACTCGTTGCATTTGCATAGCATACAGTTCTGTTCAAAGGTGTGGGGTTGGTAAGATTTTTTAATAGTTTCTAAAGTCTCTAATGCTCACCAAGGCTGCATTTATTTGATCAAAAATACAGTAAAAAACTGTAATGTTATGAAATATTATTACAATTTAAAATAACTGTTTTCTATTTGAATATATTCTCAAATGTAATTTATTTCTGTGATGCAAAGCTGAATTTTCAGCATCATTACTCCAGTCTTCTGTGTCACATCATCCTTCAGAAATCATTCTAATATGCTAATGTGCTGCTTAAGAAACATTTCTTCTTATTATCAATGTTGAAATGAAAACAGTTGTGCTGCTTAATATTTTTGTGAAAACTGTGATTTCCAGGATTCGTTGTTGAATAGGAAAATCAAAAGAGCAACATTTATTTGAAATAGAAATCTTTTGTAACATTATAAATGTCTTTATTGTTACTTTTGATCAATTTAATGCATCCTTGCTGAAACAAAGTATTAATTTCTTTCAATAAAAATAAATGAAATGTCATGTTAGTCTGCCTTATCTTGTGAGATCAATCCTAGGCACAAACCTTTCCAAAAATGGGGTGGTTTTGATGCTCTTTAATATCTGGGAAGCTGGCTGCAAACATTTCTTCTGTGCGCACACGCTTTGGAACTAGTCTTAGGGCCTCTCTAACAGCTGAAGACTTTTCTCGTTTCTGATACGGGTTATCTTCTGTTATCTGGCCCCGAAAAACAAAAATACTGTTAAGGTTTCCATGAAATGTGCCTGACACTTGCAAAATCACTTGTATCACTTGATGCCTCATGGTGTTAATATATTAGACACTTACAATTTCAGATTATTTTATATCCAAGTGCAGATAAAAATGTGTTGTTGGTACAGATATTACTGATCTGAAAGAATGTATTAAGTGTCTTACTTTATACTCAGGAAACCTCACAATATGAACAACATTTATGGTTGCTGGACAACCCATTTTTTTAGTTGGTTGCATCAGGCGTCTTGTTTTAAGGCTTGAATATTCATGACCTTGTGCCTGAAACAGAAGACATTACAGAATAAAAGTCATTTTAACTATTCAAGGTATGTCCAAATATGATCAGACATCTGTGTGAAGCTCTTACTTTACTCTCCTGCCGTCTTTGTTTGGCTTTGGCGTGCTTGTCTCTTCCTTGGTGACATATATATGTCTTTTTCCCAATAATCTTGAAAGGCATGCCATTGAAAGGAACAATCTTCACTTCCCACTGTAGCTGTTTTTCCACCGTCAGATCTGAAGAAGAAAAAAACCCCATAAAACTAAAAATAGAGAAGAATAAGGCGTTTGAGTGGAGCTGTATAGTGGATAGTCGCCAAGGTATGCTAAGTGGTTGCTGAAGTATTTAAAAGAGTATTTAATCAGTTATCAAGATATCCAGTCCTGCTTATTAGTACGTTACCATATACAAAATTCATAAGTTATGGGCCAGAAAATATCTAGGGTTGAGGTTAGTTCAGATATCTAACTTTAAGCATAAGCAGCAGTAATAACTGCACATGTAATTAAAATTCATTAATACATCTAGAACTTCAGATATGACATCGTTCTTCAAACGTACCATTTTTGCCAAATGCACGATCGCTCTTCAAAACGATAAACTTTGTGTTCGTGTCTCCCTCGTACTGCTGAAGACATGCATTGAAATCTTCAAGAGACTCAAAGGTTTCAACGCTCCCCATTATTTTATTCGGGTTCGCAATTCGCATTAGTGAGCGCGGCAAGATGGTAACCATCGTTCTGTGAAAGTCTCGCGAGACCGTAACCCCAGCCATTCGTTGCAAACAGTGTACTCTCGCGATACTTTATTTGTGTAAGCTCTCTTATGGGGTCAAATCGTTACAACTAATTAATAAAAAAAAGCTAATTAATAACCAACTGGCTCAATAATTACAAACAATATAAACTAATTTGCGAGAGAAATGTCATCACGAAGAAGTACGGAGGACGTCGGTCAATGTGCCCTCCTCTCCAGAAGGTGGCGGAGACGAGACACTTGGCTTGATCTATTAGTGCAGAAGAAGAAACAGACGGCAAACGACAATGGTGAGCCAGCATATTTCACTTCTTTTCATTTCTTAAGTAGTTTATATTTCATCTTTAATAAAAACATATGTATTTGTGGTTTAAAAATGAATTATGCACATTAAGAGCTGCTGGACATCTACATGTATTTGAGTGTGGAGTGTTTGTTAGACAGCAAACAGGGAAGTTAGCTTGTAGTGCTAGCTTGTAATCAATCAAGGTATTATATAAAAAGAGGATAAATGTATGATTAATAATGTCAACACGGTATTCTTATTATATTCACCTATTATTAAACATTGGTACTGGTATTAAAGAAAAATTAGATAAATGGATGTGTCAAATGCATGCATTATCATGGTCGTGTGTTTTTATATATGTAAACAAATAAGACGTGAATTATTCTGAATCAAAATTTACAAATATTATTACCTTATTGAATGTAAATGAACACGTAATTATATATATATCTATATATATTGAATGAATGTGTCATAAATTCATGAAAAATGAAGCAAAATACAAATTATAATCAATTCATAAGTCAGTGTAGGTGATAGACATCATCAACTTCTGGTTAAATTAATGTTTTTCATATACAGGGTCAAAGTCAGAGTGGAGGACAAGGACCTGGAGGAGGGAAGAAAGATGACAAGGTGAGTATTTATCACACACCATAATTAAGTAATATATATAGAACATGTCTGAAGAGAATAATCTTAGAGAAATTTAGCAGTTAAAATGGACAAATTTCCATCTGTGCATTGAATTTCAGGATAAGAAAAAGAAATATGAGCCTCCCATTCCCACAAGAGTTGGGAAAAGGAAGAAGAAAGTGAAGGGACCAGATGCTGCCAGCAAACTCCCTCTGGGTAAAATAAATATCATGATACCTCCGTCAAGCGGCTGTTACATAGATAGTAGTGATCCATTAAATCATGAGCTGTTATTGTCGCTTTCTTCTTCAGTCACTCCACACACACAGTGCAGACTGAAACTCCTCAAACAAGAGAGAATTAAAGACTTTCTGCTGATGGAGGAGGAGTTCATCAGGAACCAGGAGCAGATGAAACCCCTGGAGGAGAAACAGGAGGTGAGCACATTTATTATTGTGTCTCTTTTATATTGTGTATATAAAATGTTTTTTTTTTTTTCAATTTCTATAATTATTATTGTTTTTATTTTGAATCAGAAGAACCATAATTTGGCCCGAAGAGGCATTGCAGAATAAAAATATTGAATGAAAGATATTAAATCTAGAAACAAATCTAGATCAAAATCAAGCCCAGCCCTTAACATCATATTTTGTTTATAGGAGGAGAGATCGAAAGTGGACGATCTCAGAGGGACGCCCATGTCTGTGGGAACTCTGGAGGAGATCATTGACGATAATCACGCCATTGTGTCGACATCAGTGGGCTCTGAACATTATGTCAGCATTCTGTCGTTTGTAGATAAAGACCTTCTTGAGCCTGGCTGCTCTGTGTTACTGAACCACAAGGTTAGTAAAGTCTTTAAAATCACTCAATAGACCTTAGGAAATGGAAAGATAAATAGAAATGAATATTGACTCACTTAGATTGACTTGACTCTCATTAGACCATGTTTATTTCTGGTGTGGGTTTCACATGGCCAGACACAAACTGTCTGATGTCACAAACATTAGTGTGAGAGTTTCCTTTGTTTTAAAGTGCTCATAATGGACTTGAATATTGACTCACTCACTTAACTTTATCTAAATACAGAAGTCAATTTTAGTACTGCATTTTGAATATTTTTATTAGGCCTGTCAATAATAACATTATTAAATTGATTATTTTATTAAATCATGTATTATAATATGCATTTTATGTTTTGTTATTAATTTATGTACATGTTTGCAGGTTCATGCAGTAATCGGGGTGCTTATGGATGACACAGACCCTCTGGTGACTGTAATGAAAGTAGAGAAAGCCCCGCAGGAGACATACGCAGACATCGGAGGTCTGGACAACCAGATTCAAGAGATCAAGGTAACAGATTAGTCTCCATAAAATTAATTTCATTTCAAAGTGGCTAAAAACTGCAACAAAAAAAAATTTATTTAAAAAAAAAATTGGTTTATAAAAATAGGACATACATTGTATTCCTTAAAATAAATATATTAATTTATATTTATTTCAATATTATTTTATTTCTTATTGGCAGTTTTTCTCTGTCTACTTGTCCTTGATTATGTCAGCTGTTTAATTCAATTTAATTCAGAAGCAGATGCAGTCTATACATTTTGATGAAATGTGTTTTTTCTTCTTCTTTAGAATTACATACACTGATGATATCCTGCACAAGAACATTAATCAGGACATTGCATGAAATCAAAATGAATTCTAAGGCATGTTTGACCTTGTGCATTTCATCTTTTAGGAGTCTGTGGAGCTTCCCCTCACCCATCCAGAATATTATGAAGAGATGGGAATAAAGCCGCCTAAAGGGGTCATTCTGTATGGTGCACCGGGAACGGGTCAGTCTGAGGAGTCTTAAAAACCAATTTGCGTCTGTATGTTGTCATTTTCTTAGCATATGGTTTGTGTTGATGTTATGTTTTGCTGGTGTGCAGGCAAAACTCTTCTGGCGAAGGCGGTGGCAAACCAGACGTCTGCCACCTTCCTGAGGGTGGTGGGCTCAGAGCTTATTCAGAAATACCTGGGTGATGGTCCCAAACTGGTGCGAGAGCTCTTCAGAGTGGCTGAGGAACATGCTCCGTCCATTGTCTTCATAGATGAGATTGACGCTATCGGCACAAAGAGGTGAGTATGAAGTAGGGATGCACTGATACCACTTTTTCCAGTACTCGCCCGATACCGATACTTTTATTTTTGGTACTTACCGATACCGAGTACCGATACCAATATTTTATTGCATTTGTACATTTTTAAAATATTGGGTACAGAAACCAAAAGAGTATGTATAATGTTAGTTGGTTAACTTCATTTATCAAATAGATACAGTCAAACCAAAATTTTTACAGACACCTTCAACATTTCTCACATTATCACAGTTTATTCGCTATAGTTTAGAAAATGGTAATAAAATAT